GCAACATAATTAGAGTGACATCCTGTCACTTTCGCCGTGTTCTACTCATTAGAAGCCAATTAGGTTCATCCCACTCTCAAGGGGAGGTGATTACACAAAGTTCTGTCTACAGGAAGGTAGGGATGACTGGAAGCCATGTCAGAAGCTGCCCACCACCGTATGATGCCACTGTTCTCTGCTATGTCTGAATGATAGACCTGTGGTGAATTGTGGTGGGAAGATTACATACATTTGCAATGCTAAATACAGCTCTCAGAAGTACTGATTTGGAGGCACTGAATATGATCACCTTTCTATGCCAAATTGGCTGTTAAGTGCTGAGTCGTGCTTACCTGGGCCCCAGGAGACCAGGGTTTCCAGAATGGGAGAATGGTTGAAGTTAGGGCCTCTGTCTGAGGTCATGAAACAGACAAGAAGATAAGGGGCCCTCATGGCCTTATTAGCATGGTACTCTAAACACAGAGAACCAGAGAGCCTCCAGCTTGCATTTCATTATGTGTTTGCAGGGTTTTGGTTGGTACTTTGCAGCTCATTAGGGTGAAGGGACCCTATGGATTGATTTATAAAGTTGCTATTAAGATCATGGGAGAGGAGGTTGTGTTTTGTTTTACTGGTCCCCATATCCCTACTTTCAGCTTCCTGACTCCAAGTATACATTTTTGGTCATAAACTGAGTAAAGGGATGTGGATTTGGATTACGTGGCAACTGTTGAAGACATTTCTCATTTTAATTTGAAAAATTCTATTAGAAAATACATGTATCTGTATAGGAAGATTTCGCACATAGATTTTCTTCACCTGTTTGCAGGTTAATACCTCTCTTTGGTTGCCAACGCTTCAGTTTGGAAATAACGGGATAGAAGGTCATTTGTTCCAGTTGCTGTTGGTTGGCTTCTGGATGACCCGTGAAGTCTCTCGTAAAAGTCCTCTGTTAAGCATATCTGGGACACCCTCACACTCCCAAAGTGGACTCTCCTGGCCCAAAGCTGTGCTGGCTTTCCATGTAAACTTGTTATCAAGTGGATTCTTCAAGGTACCCTAAACTGTGGTTCATATTTATGTCCCAGCTGGAATAAGCACAACACAAGGGCAGGAATGGTATGTCTTACACATCTTTGCACACACAGTATCTAATAAAGAAACTGGTATGTAATAGGCAACTTAGGAGTGTTTAAAATGGTGGATGAAGCTGCCGTAATATATAATAGGCTGTCGTAATGTATAATAGATTTTGATAATTATTCACCATCAGCTTTCAAGGTTGACTATTAATTTTCTTCTTTTTTTTTGAGTTGAGGTCTCATTCTGTCTCCCAGGCTAGAGTGCAGTGGCATGATCACGGCTCACTGCAGCTCGAGTTCTTCAACTCAGGTGATCCTCCCGCCTCAGCCTCCCAAGTAGCTGAGGCTACTGGCATACACCACTATGCCCAGCTACTTTTCTGATTTTTTTTGTAGAGACTAGAGATGAGGTCTTGCTATATTACCTAGCTAGGCTGGTCTCGAACTCCTGGACTTAAGCACCTCTCCCACCTTGGCCTCCCAAAGTGCTGGGATTATAGGCATAAGCCACCACACCCAGCTGACCATTAATTTTCTAAGGAAGGCAACACAAGAAGTTATATCGAGAGAGTGTATTATATATAACCTATGTATGTGTAAAAATTTATATTTTTTTAAGTAAGATAATGTTGGTCTTACAAAATATGTTTCTAGAGTTCTGGGAATTAATATTACCTACCTCTTGGCCAAAGCCAGGCATGGTCTGAGATTTTACTTCCTCACATTTATCCTCAGCTATATCTTTTGCTCACAGTTGATCCTGAGAAGATTTCATTTGTAGGTTTACTTGTGAAAATCATACATATTTTAATTCCCCTGTTATTTTGTGTTTTTCGTGCTCAATCTTCTGCCTTTTGTTTATGTGTCATCTATAAAGCACTTTCTCATATTACCTTATATCTTCAAGTATTACTAATAATTAATCATCTGTGTTTTTAAACTGAATAAATACATCCTACATTCAGCAGCCAAGGGGTGTGGGGTGGAGAAATCTTGAATACAACATGGAGGAAAGCCACACTCTCACTTCTTAAACTTTACATTTAAAAACAGAGTTTTGCTGATATATAGAAAAGGTTTTTATCTTTCTGAGTCTTCATTTTTTTTCTCCCTTTTTTGGAGTCAGAGTCTCACTCTGTCACCCAAGCTGGAGTGCAGTGGCATGCTCACAGCCACTGCAGTCTCAACCTGCTGGGCTCAGGCAATCCTTCCGCCTCAGCCTTCCAAGTAGCTGGAACCACAGGCGTGTGCCACCACACCCAGCTAATTTTTTTTATTTATTGTAAAGATGAGGTCTTGCCAAATTGCCCAAGCTGATCTCAAGCCCCTGGGCTCAGACAATCCTCACACTTCCACCTCCACCTCCCAAAGTGTTAAGATTACAGGTGTGAGCCCCTGCACCGGCAGTTTTGTGTTCTCAATGTGGTAAATACGGAACTCAAGTTATACTGACCTAATAAGGCACACCTCACAAGTTGGCTCTGAGAGTTGGAAGTTTACTCCATGAGCTCAGGCCACAGGTTGTCAGGTCAATGCAGGTAATGCAATCTGTATTGTGTACTCATACATCACATTGTATGCTCATATTCTTGGTTCATACATTTTTCTAAGGATTAGAGTATAGTAGTCAAATACTACCACAAGGCATCTATCACAGTTCCTGGTGACAGGAGATGAAGAAGTCATGGGGAAGATTGATAGGAAGGAGAGGTTTTTATTTTATTTTTTATTTTATTATTATTATTATTATTGCAGAGACGAGGTCTTGTTATGTTGCCCAGGCTGGTGTCGAACTCCTGGGCTCAAGCAATCCTCCCACCTCAGCCTCCCTGGGATTATAGGCATGAGCTTACCACACCTAGCTTATTTTATATAAATATAAATACATTTGATATTTTTTAATTCATGGAAAAATGTGGTTTGTATGCAGTAGCTGAGGTGAATAGCCCTCCTTTAGGGCTTGTAAAAAAACTCTCCAGTTTCTTCCAGACGACTTATCATTTGCTGCTGCTTAGTTATTCCCATGTGTCCTACAATAATTTTAATGCCCTGATTCACTCTTCCTAAATAAAAATCTGAAAGACCTGTACTAAATCCAACAAGTTCCTCCCTAAAACAATTAAACATTTGATCCTACCTTGAGCCCATTTATCCAGCAGCATCATCTGTCAAATCATTTATATGTGTGTGGCAAATCAAGTTCACGAGGCCTGAAGTGAGTTCTTGTCAGCTCAGAAATCCATAGAACAGCCGTGCAAACATTTTTGTGTCACTTTCTCACACTACTTCTCATGAATAAGACATACGCTCCCTCAAGAACCCATGGTTTTTCTAATGAGTTGGAGCCACCTATGTGTACTGTATTTGTGACATGCACATTGGCAGTTGAGGTCCACAGGAAGGACACCATTTCCTGGATCAAACCACAGAGTGCAAATATTGTGCCCTAAATAACACACTAGTTACTGTAAATGTCAGTAGAGGGAGTTTTTCCGACTTTGATTTAATGAAAGCCTACAGCAAAGCCAGCTGTTAGCACTTCTTAACCGCTTGTCAGAGCGATCGGGAGAGATGGGGAGGGCCACAAACATTTCTTCTCTATACTTTTGTTTTAAAATTAAAAGAGTGTTCACCGGTGTTTAATAGAGTCAGTGGGGTCCCCCTTACTGCTTGACATTATTTAAGTGGTGGATTTCTAAGTCCTTCTTCAGGATAGTTTGTAGATCTCGAGTTACATAAGGAGAGTCATGTAAAATTACTTGGGAGTTTGCATCTTGAATCCTCTCACCTGCAAAATAAGCATTTTAGTTCTCTGGGAGATCCCCATGAGGCATAATAAAAATAGATTAATACATAAAGGAGAGAGAAGGCACACCAAATGCTGTCTTTGTCACTTTGGGTATTACCAAAGTGATTGTAAGCCATGTGTGATTTGATTGATGTCATCTGCTTTTTCTGAACAAAGAAACCACTTGAAGCAAACACATTGGGAGGAAAGTATGTGGCGCTCATTTCTGTAATTTTTGTCATTTCTAAAATGCATTAGTAAACACATGTGGTTGTTAAGGGTCTTACCACCCTTGGAAATCCCTTTGACATTATGCTGTGTGTACTGAGGGGAGATAATCTTTCACCCGTAGGGAAAGTTTACAGTCTTATTATCTTGAAGAGGAGAAGAAAGTTTCTTCCTCAAATGATTTATAACTTGAAACATGCTGTCATGTTTTGGTAAGCCTACTTTATTAATTCCATCCTTCTCTGTGGCAAATTAAAAAAAAATAAATGTACCATTGCAACATAGTACTTTCTCAATAGCATATTGTACTTATAATAGCATGATGGAAGTGACTGGGCTCCGTTTAGTCACATAGAATGCGGAGCCAAGTTCTGAGTAAAACCTCTAAATTGAATTACCTGCAAAGCATTGACAGACAAGCTTTCAGGACAGACAAAGCTCTGCTTTCCCCAGCAGAAACAGGTCATGTTGAAGTCTGCCGCATAACTATCTATGATTGGTTTTTACTGGCACTTTCACCTTGAGGCTCCGTTGGGCCCCTTTTCCTGTAGCTGAGGAGTGGCTCCATGAAACAGGGGTCTCAAGGATTATCCTCTTGGTTTAGGGAAAATTGATAACAGATCATGTTAAATGGAAGAGCCTTTGAAATAAAAATCCGAAATATTTTTTCATAGATTACCCACATTCTTTCATGAGTCTTTATTGTATTGAAAAGAGATGATAGGTATATGAAAGTAGCCTTTCTGTAGCAGTTAGATCAATCTGAAAAGTATTGTTTGTCTGAACTTTTGGAGAATTGGAGAAAGTTATTGTTGTTCAGGTCAGGAAATAATTTATATTGTAGACCATCGGTATGTGAAAATGGAAAGTAATATGTTGTTCTCTCCTTTGTCTCTTGTTCTCTCTCTCTGTCTTATCCACAGCCTCTGCAATCCCAGATAATGGAAGAAGGTCCTGTCTAAAGCTCAAAGTCTTTGTGAGACCAACAAGTAAGTTCTCTCGAATGAGCTTCAGAGGGTGGCTTCACTGCGCATGCTTTAGCGTGTGGTCTGGTTCACAGCGGTAAAACTTTTTTTACTGTTAAATCCCGTGTGGTATCTGTTTTGTATATCAACATCCATGTTTTAGTTTTCATCATATTTTTTCTCATCATTCTTCATGATGCTTTGATTTAAGTACACAGCAGTTGCTAACTTGTTGTTTCTTAGACTGTTGTACATGCACAGCAAATGGGAACAATATTGGCATTTGGATACATGCCATTGATTGTAAAACAATCTCTACATAAATAAAAAGAAAAAACAGAGAGAAAGAAAAAAGAAAGAAACGGGAGTTGAAGGGTGTCTTCACTAACATATTTGGCTGTTATCTCTATTTTTGTTATAGATAGCTGTATGAAAACTATAGGTGTTCATGATCGTGTTTTCGATGTTAACGACAAAGTAGAAAATTCATTAGAACCAGCAGGTTAGTATGCTTAGAGAATCTCTTTTAACAAATGCATCTATTTCTCTGGTGCTTCAGTACTTTTTTCCTTTCTTCCTCTCTGCATGTTTGCATGTTGTAGTTCTGCTTTTGCTCATTGCTAGCGATGCTAATATGACTTATATTCTACCTCATTTCTTCGGTATCTTTGTGTAATGCATGTTAGAAAAAACGCAACTTTTCTTTTTTGGACATGGGTTTGAACTAATGCAGTATTCTAATATAGAACCCCATCAGAATGTTAAAATCTCACTGCCTTTTACCATATCCTCAGAGCATGCTGGAGAATCACTGTGAATATTGAAGAATCTGTTTTCATTTAAGACAGAAAGACATTTCTATTGTATATGTTCATATATTTTTCTTTTTTATTATATCCAAATCTATGGATAAAAGTAATAAGACTATCACACAAAATAGCAACTAATTCAACATATTTAGTTTGCTCTAGAAATTCATTGAACTGACCTAAAGAACTTCATTTTATTTCAGTATTATTTGTGCTGTCATCAATAGTAATTGGTCTGGAGAAGCATAATCATGTTGCCACTACAAATTCACACACCCGCTGCTCCCACAAATGTACCAACAGCCCTTCAAAGCTGAATGTGATCCTTGATTACCAAGGCAAAATAATTTAAGGATAAATAATTTTTTTCTAACATTGACTTTCACATACTCAAACTTTCCCACAACTACGAAGAAAAATAAAACCCACAAATCACTCATTGAAGCATTGACTTTGTAGCATACTGTGGATAATGTAAACCTGTAAACTATTCACTTGAATATAAATTCAGTCTAGCCATTTAATGCAACTAGATTGATGGGAGGGGTGGTCACCCTCTGTGCTGCTGACGCCCCTGTGTGTCCCCCTTCCTCTCTGGTGTCCTTTTCCTCCCCACCTGCTCAGCATCTTCACTGATTTCCTTACCTGTCTCCCTTGACCATCTCCAAGCTTACAGGAAATAAAATTATTTCCTTTCCACAGAGCAATTTGAGCCTCCTTAGGTAAACAGAGAAGTTTATTGTCTTTTGACTTTTTGTAGTAGGACTTTTCTTTCTTACGGTCCTAGAAATTAAAGGTTTTTGTGGTCCACTTTGTCCTTCAAGTATTGTTACCAGAACGACATAGTCAATGAGCCTTAAGGAAACCTACGCTGAAGATGCGGTGCCTCCGGACATACAATAGCTTTCTCGGTATAACTGACAGGAAGAGTTTGGGTATTTTTTCCAAGCATTCTTATTTTTCTCAGGCAGGCGTATCACCCAGAGGGCAAATGAGACGGGTGTACAATGAGCCCTCAGAGGTCTCAGTGGCTTCCCAGGGATCAATTAGGCACTTTAGAAAGTTGCAAGGAGTGAATGCCTATGCGGAGACATTTTAATTGTGTCCTGGAAATCTGGAGGCATGACTGTGGCCTTTCAAGGTATCAGACTCCTCAGAAGCTCAAGGACTTGGACTACCACATGTTCTGCAAGTTAGATGGTATCTCCCACAGAGTCAACACTCTTCTTCTATGACTGAGACTTAACTGTGCCACATACTTAGATCCAGGTTAAACATTCAGATCTATTGACTCCTATCCCAACATTAATGTCAAAGTAGTATTCTCTTACCATTACTAGAGGTATGTTCATAATGAAGACTTAAGTCTTTTGGCTTTGCTAATAAGCCACAAGTAGAACAGTCAGCAGAATTAGTCACATTCTAAACACAAGTTACCCAGGATTATGATTTCTTGATACACATTGTGCAGAATGTAGATACACATGACCCATAAGAGTTTTTTTCCAGGGTAAGATGTGCTTCCTCTGCCTGTCTAGAAAGTAGCAGGCTGCTTAGAACCATAACAGGTGGCATAGTTTCCTCTGATAATGAAGAGGCGCACTGAGGACTGTGTTGCCATTAGGAAAATTATCTTTTAATTCAAGTAATGATAAAATGCGAGATATTAAGGTGCTTTCATATATGAACATATTTCACTGTCTTTGGGGAAGCAAGCTCTTTAAACTGAACATTTAAAATGCACCATGGCCTGAAATCGATTCATGGACATATAACTGATGGAAGTTGGCAAAAATTTGGCAGAAGGTAGTTGAGCACGTGCGTATGTGTGTTTGAGAGTGGAGCATAGGTGTAACATGCAGGAAAAGCTCCCTGAGTCAGGCCAAGCTATATTTAAGGGCTTGCTGGTGACCATCTTCCCTAAGAAAGTGAGACAAGGTTGAGCCGCAATTCCTGGGAGCATGAATACAATAAGAAATTTGAGCACTTAATCATATTCAGAAAATTAGAAAATTCAGCCAGACCTGCAGTTCTTCACCCCTGTGTTGAACCACTGAATGAAAGAATATTCACCTTTCTGGTTGTAGACCCAGATTTTATGAACCCAGCAAGCCCGAAAGGATTCCACTGCATGATCTCAGCAATGTGTACTAATTCACCTGTCTTCGGAATGCATTTGTCTTTTTTGTTTGCTTGCACACTCCGCCTGCCAGTTTCCTATCATCAGGGACGCAGATTGATCTCAGGGCAGACATATGCCACATAACATGCTCCAGAACATCGCTAGTGTTTTCTCAGTTAACCACTGAAACCCCCGTGTTGTGGAATCCTGTAGCCAGGAGGCAGGACTTGATTTGGCTTCTGAAGAGAACATTTTCTTCTTCCAAGCCAGTGTTACAAGTGTTAGAAATTCTCTCATATTTAGGTGTAATTTCCATTGGGAGAGAGTTTTGCTTTACGAATTCCTCCTCAGAATTCTGAAATTGCTCAGATTTACCCAAATGACAGCCAGTTTCTCCTTTCACTGGGGGGGGGGTTGTATAGAATCTCCTAACATTGAGGCCGGGTTTTAATCAAAGGATGCTTTGTAGAATTCTGAATGAGGAACAGCATGTTGCAGGAAGAAGAGAAGAATTGTGATGTCCTAATGAAATGGGTTTTCCCCCTTGGGGGCAAGACGATATATATTCTTTGACTGATTCCAAAGATTGTGTATGATTAAAAGACTAAAAGGCACATACATTTAGCCTTATGCTTCACTTAGATAAAAAACAAAAGCCTTCCTGTCAATTATCCTGTAAGATTTGTTCCCTGTGCTAAGTGGGCCTGGAACAATGGGTGGCCCTCACTGAGCACCTGGAAGAGGTGGAGGACAATGAGCCCTCCATGTTCCCACTGAGTGCCTAAGTGCTCCTTGGGTACCTTTTACCAGTACACTTCCAAATATACTAGGAGAGGAATTGGGTAATATATTAGTAAAAAATAAGGTAGACCAGAGTCCAATAGCTGATGTAATTTCAGGTGTCTAAATATAAGTTATGTTATATAAATAAGTTTATGGTGATTTCACAATTAAGCCTGAAGTACTTCATTGTTTTGACTGACAACTTACTGGTGCTCCTAGGAAAGTGATTTGTATCTTAATTTCAGGGCTATTAAGGGCCTTTACTTTTACTTCCTATTACTACAAATTTACTGAACACATTTGCAAGACTGAAAAGAGCTGTGAATAGAGGCGAGTCTGCAAATATTTGGATATGTTGTGGAGGACTGTATATTTTTTCTGTATCCATTTATCTTGCCATTTCTTGCTTCCTAACTGTGTTCTAGTCTCCTGAGCTAGAACCATTCCATGCAGATTTGCTGAGGTCCAGGAAAGGGGAACAAATTTGACAAGGGGATGCAGCAGCTTCTCCACGAGGGCAAGCTTAAAATGATAAGAGCACTTCAGGAGGGAAGACTCAGCGACGAGAAGACATGTTTCTTAGTTTGTTTTGGGAATGAATGTGACTGACAGAAACATTCCAAACAAGCATATCTGCAGCAGGGCCAGACTGGGAGCCTGGAAAGTGGTTACTTTAGGACAAATATAATAGGAAGTGTGATTCTACCCAGTAGAGAAAAAGCATCCTTACTGTGACACGTTGTGTGGTAGGAAAATATAAATGAGTCTAAAATAATGGGTAGTTAGTCCATGAAGGGATTTGAAGTGGAGTATTTCAGGGGCATTTAGGGATTATCCTTTGAGGTCAATATAATTGAGAAGAACCACCAATCTCATTTGTTACCATTCTTTCTGACCATTGAGCAAATCCCAGATGGCAATTGCTGTACACGTACAGGAAGTTCTCCTGATGCTGAAATAAGATCTGCCTAGGGGCCCACTAGGGGCCCCCAAAACATGTCATGCAGAGATCACTTAGTGTAAAAGCACAATTAGGCCAGGTGGAAGGAAGAAGACAGGCAGCCCTAGAGCAGAGCATGGCTCCTACGCCAGCCTCCAACCTATCTTTGGGTATTAATTGCAGCAGAGTTCCCCTTCCAAAGTTAAGCTTCTTAATCATGCAGATCAGGAAGGCTATCCAAAGTCAGAGGCAGCCTCATAGAACACTTTATAGCTAAATAAAAGAAGCTTAACTCACTTAATCCATTTTATTTAGAGGAAAATTTGCATCCATGCTGATAATTTATGTGCCAAGCTTCAGCCTGATAAAAATAAAAATAGGCAAGTTCAAGCAATTCAATCTTAAAAATACAAGGTTTATAATGGAAATAGCACCCTCAATGATACCTAGTTGTAGGCAAACCAGAGAGCACCAGTTTACTGAAGTTTACTGGGCATGATGTATAGTTTATTTAAAATGCTGTTGTTTTGGCGTTTCATTTTTCATATTTAAAATTCATCTCAGCATCCAACAACCAGGCATTCAACACTAATCCTCTGAAACAGCTAAAAGAAGGGAAGTGGGCAGCCTATTCTGGTTATCCACTAACATGCCAACATAACTGCCCTTTGACCCCAACCCCCACCAACATGGGACTTGCCTGCTCGTGACATCTTAGGTTTCAAAGGTATATTCAGACGTCTCAAATTTGTGTAAGACATGTCTGACTGCTGGCCAACCACAGCAGCTCACGTGCCAAAGGTTACCGTGTATGCCCAGTTTTTCCCCTCAGTTCTTAAGGAAAGGCTTAATATTGCTGAGAAAGTCCAGTGTTCTCTTTGTTTGCTGTAAATAATGAGTGATTATGCAGACATGAAAGTCAATGGTGGCACAAGGTTCATTACCCTACTTTGCAGAGGGTGGCGAGGTCTGTGAACAGCAGGCTGCTGCAAAAAAGTTATTAAGGATGTGAAATCTCATTGGAATGTGTGCTTTCTGTTTGAACAGATGACACCGTACATGAGTCAGCCGAGCCATCCCGCGGCGAGAACGCGGCACAGACACCAAGGATACCCAGCCGCCTTTTGGCAATCCTACTGTTCCTCCTGGCGATGCTTTTGACATTATAGCACAGTCTCCTCCCGTCACCTGTCACTGAAAACATCAGGGTCTTGGAACACCAGAGATCCACCTAACTGCTCATCCTAAGAAGGGACTTGTTATCGGGTTTTGGCAGATGTCAGATTTTTGTTTTCTTTCTTTTCAGCCTAAATTCTAAGCAACAACTTGGGGGGCCGGGGAGGGGGCTCAACTAGTTACTGCCTCCCTTACCCACCCCACCCCCAGCCCTTGCCTTGACTTCTTTCACCCCCTCCCAAACTAAATGGGCTCCAGATGAAAATGCCAAATTGTGGTAGTGACACCAGTGGTTCGTCAGCTCCTGTGCATTCTCCTATCAGAGCTCACCTCTGCGAGCACACTGTGTCAGCAATGTATGGACAAGGAAGGATAGTGGCAGATGTAGCCAGCGATGGCTAGGCCTGGGAGGGCTTTGCTGTCCTATACAATATTTATGCCTTCTCATTCAGAACTGTAAGATGATCGCGCAGGGCATCATGTCACCATGTCAGGTCCAGAGGGGAGGAATTAAGAATAGATATAATATTACACCATTTTCTCTAGGAGTGTATAAATGAACAGGCTTCTAAAGGGTTGAGACACTGGGGTTGTTTTTTTTTTTTTAATATGACTGTCTTAAAGCATTCTTGACAACAAAACTTGTGCTCTGTAAAAGAAGGCTTTTTTTTCCTAGGAGGCAGGTTGGGTGCAGAATGCTAACACAAAGCAAGCGTGAGAACAGAGAAAACTCTGTTTGGTGGGGGTGTGTATGTGTGAGTGCCTCTAATTTTTTTGGTGACTGGGCAGTGCACACCAGATTATTTTTTCTTTGAATACAAATCACCATGGTGCTACAACTTTTTTTGTTTTGTTTTTTAGAAACTCAAAGAGGCATTTTTATGAATAAAGTGACCTTCCCCAAGGCTGACAAGCCAGGGTTGATGAGTGCATAGTGGAATAGCTTTGGATGCTCCTCTGGGGACAATATGTACCAAGGAAAGGATTTCAGTGGTTGGAGGAGACATGGTTTGGCTTGACTGGAGCGCCAAGGTGCTGTGGCCTTTCCCCGACACCCACCCTAGTACCCACGTTTTGCTCCACACTCCACGACCGCAGGGGCTCGGACACAAACCCCTGTCACCAGGAGAGTCAGTCAGCACCACTTGGGAGGGCTAAAGGGAAATTTGGAAATAAAATTCCAAAGTTTGGAGTAAAAAAAAAATTCAAGTGTTGATTTTATATTCTTTCCCTTTCTGACACAGCCTGAAGCGTAGGGGGAACATGTGTTTATCTGTGGGAGATAAACAAGATGGAGTCCCAAAGACTTTAACAAAATATTTTTTTAAAAATCCACTAGAATAGAAAATACATTATTTAGATATACTTTATGCTGAGAGTGAGTATATATGCTTGTCCTATTTAAACTTGTGAGAAAAAGTGGTATCCCTTGATACATTTAGAAATATGGGGGCTATCTTGTTTCATTGTGGGGGTGGGGCAGAAGGAGAACAAATGCAGGATGACCCTGTTCAAGGAATCTTGCTAGCAAGGCCAACAGAGGACGTTTCCAGTTGATCAGGAAATGCAAGCCTTGGGGTTTCTACTGGTGGTGGGGCTGTCAAGAACTTTAAAATCCAAAGCCTACACAGGGAGAAATGTTAGACCAATGGAAAAGCAATCTAGCCTTTTTTTTTTTTTTTTTTTGCTATTGCACGACATGTCAATAGAAACCATGCCTTTTAAAATAAATAAATAAATGTGATGATCATGTAAAATATGAAAAATTGAAAGCATTCCAGCAAGATAAGGATTTTTTTTATATATTTGTTTTTTTAAGATGTACATGTAAAAAAAACAAAAAAGAGGGCATCGCTTCTGGACAGACTTCGTGAATGGGAATTTGCTTAGAATTGTGAGTAGTTCTGAATTAGAAAAATATGTGAATGAAAGGCAGCTGTAAACGTACTGCACCCTGGAGAGTTGTACACATGTTGAAATGTAATCTGGGCTTACCTGATCCGTTTGGAGTGGATGTGACTGCCGAGTCTGTTCTCACATAGAACCATGCGCGTGGGGTTGCCAGCCTGGAAGATATGATCAATCCTATTCCCACTGACATCAGGAACTTCTTGGAGTGGCAGAGTCTTATCACAAAAGGCAGCCACCATTTCATTGAAACAAAAGTTCACAGCATTTGATTCCTTTTTCCTTTAATTATTTATATGCTTCACACTCTTGGTAATATCTAGAAATACTTTTTTTTTTTTACTAATAGTTCCAGGCTTGTTGGTCCAGTGGGATTTGGGTAGGGGAAAAAAAGATACATTCTAAAATGGATCAATAGTCAGAACCAAAATAATATTGCATGTTCTATAATGACAAGGAGATAAAATGATTCTGTAATGATTCCAGTTAGTCATAACCACATTAGCAGTGCTAATTTCATTTTAGGAATGGAGACTTCTGTTGTTTTTCTAGCATTTGTCTCTAACAAATGATGAAATAATTACTCATGGCCCTGTCTGCCATTGTCTTTCGTTTTTCTTCACAGTGAAATTAGACCCCTTTACTTTACCATCATGCCACTGCAAATTAAGTAAAAAGAAAATAGCAAGACTATCCACGCCAGTAGACAGTATGCTTCTCCACCTATGAGTGACGTAATCATAGCTAATGCACTTGCCATGGAATTTTCAAGAAGATATTGGAATCAGACAGTTTTCATTGTGTTTAAAAAGTGTTGGTGGCCTTTTTGTGGTGATGTTACAATCCTCTGGGGGCTTAGGAGGATGTCGATGCGACTTTGTAGCAGCTTTTAATTTCAAAAACAAATCAAAAGTCTGAAAGGCAGCTATGCTGTTCCTCAGCCCCAGTTAGTCAAACCCCAGCAACATTTGCCCCTGGTTGCCAAGGGCTTTGCAACATGAAGCAGGGAAATAAGGATCTGTCTGTTTAGTGGATACCGTGTATCCTTTAATAGACCAGGTAACAGTTCGTGTTAGTTTAGACTATTGTTTTGTACTGTACTTTCTTGGGTGGCAGAGGAATGAAAAGTAAACCGTTAAACAAAAACTGCGTTCTTTAAATTCTGTATTATTAGCAACCTCTGTTGTATATAGTGTTTGATAATAAAGTATTAATTTGATTCTTATGTCTTTTGTAAGTGAGAACAATAGACTTTCAGGATACAAAACATGCATTGAGGCTTTGAAACATCCAATGTGTACCGTGGCTGAGAAAGAATCACAAATGGCTGAGACACTGCTTCCTACAGGACTCATGTGTAGTCATCGCCCACCCAATCTTATGACTCCGTCATCTTGGGACCTGGAACAACATGACGTTTTTGATCAATATTTTGTCCTCAGTGTTTTCAAGGTCTGATGTTGGAGCCCTGTGGTCCACCCTCTCGCCCCCTCTCACCTCCCCCAGCATGTTGGTTTGAAAAGGTTAGGGAATTTAGCAACAGTCTGTACTTTGGTTTGCTTTGCTTTTCTGTTTATGATTGTTTTCATGGACTGTTTTACTTTTTTTCCCAGGAAGAGTCTTTATCAATGTCACGTGCAGCTCACACATGGGAATGGTTACAGACCAATCACCATAGGAAGGTTAAATGGAGCAGTTTACCTCTCTGTGTCGTTGTGAAAGGAAGAGTCATATCGTACCTGTGGGTTTTCAGGGACTCTGTTTTTCTCCGGTGCCTTAGCAACGGCCACAGCCATCTTTAATAGTTTCAAATAATTAGAAAAACAGTTTTAAACTCCTCCCTTCCATTCATTGCTCTCAGAGTTGTGGTCACTAGCTTTTTCTTTGAAAACCACCTCCACCAACACCCCTGTTTGCCTACATTCCCCCCCACCCCTTTACTTTTTATGTTTATCTTTTTGTCTCTCGCCTTCCTCCCACGTTTTATTTTCTCTCAGAGCCGTGAATGGGCAGGTCTGTCTCTGGTTTGGCATCACTGAGTTTTTCCCATGCATTTGCCCCAGGGCTGCTCGAATGTGAGACAAATCTCCCTACAATGGGCTTGCTCCCATTGTGTGTACAGTTTAATAGATGCTGGCATGTTGGAGGTTACCCATGAGTCAAAATCCGCTTTCCATGCTTACTCTTGACACCCCATTGAAGCCACTCATTGTGTGTGTGTCTGGGTGTGAAGTCCAGCTCCGTGTGGTCCTGTGCTTGTACTGCCCTGCTTTGCAGTTCCTTTGCACTTACTCATCGAGTGCTGTTTTGAAATGCTGACATTATATAAACGTTAAAGATAATGTAAAAAAAAAAAAAACCCACACACAAACAAACCCATTACGATCTGTATTTGTATATACACGTGTCCGTACAAGTATACTTAAATAAAAATTAAAGATTTTCATCATTTTAATTGGATCCCTCCTTCTACTTCTTTGTTCCTTGAATGACGCCTTTATTTCAGGGGCTACTTGTACTCTGCTGATTTTTCAAAATCTTTGTGGGCAGAAAAGATAATACGACATGCACAAGAGAAGGCCTGGGAAGCTCAAAGAATGCAGAGTTAGAAATGGCCAAGTATCTAGGCGCATTCCAGTTATTCTGATGAGAGAATGGTGAGATTTCAGCCTTGTCTCTGTGTTTGGACCTTAAAATAGGCGCTATGACAAATCCCGCATCCTAAAATGACTGTTAAATACCACAAGAGCCAAACACAAATTATATTCTTTAACTTTGCAGGTAGTTTTTTCACCCCATCAAAAAGACCAAATAAGCATTTTCCCAGCAAATATCTTACACTTCAGAAAGAAACAATAGCAGTAATAATCATCCCTTCAGTACAACCCGAGACTCAATCCTCACTATCAATGAAGAATTAACTTACCACTCTGTGACCTTGGGCAAGTCACATGATATCTTTGGGACTCAGTTTCCTTATCTGTAAGTAACATGGTTGTATAAGAGATGTGTTCGATTTTTCTGAGTTTCCGCCCTTGTCAGGCACTGCAAAGCCCATTTTGCATCTGAGTGATGTGAGTGTTTTTGTCTTTGATGATGACATTGCTATAAGCACAATTTGACAATTTCATCAGTAGAGGGGAAAAGCATCAAATATCTGACATAATAGACACCTAATGCATTTCAAGACTTGGCTTTAATTACCCCATGTTAACATTAAACTCATTGAAAGCTTTTTATTAAACTTAATTATTTGACAGGGCACTAAACACTAATTATAACTTACTGTAACCTTTTTTGCTAATGAAGAATGACAGTTTTATAGAATGAGAGACATCTTACATAAAAAAAAATGTACTGGACTACTTATGTGACATTTTCAAACCAGAACAGCATTACGTTATCATTATCATCTTCACCATCATCATCCAAAGCATTTAAGTGATCGTGACATTGTGCTTAGTGCTGTGCAAAATAAAGTTAATGTTTACAATCTGTACTTTCAAAGTTTACAACAAAAGGCAGACATTACGTGTAAGCATGACATCATAGTTATTTATAGAGATAAATATAAAATTCAAGCGTTTATAGTATGCCTCAGTAATAGGGAAGATAGGCACTTTTTAAAAAAAAACAAGTGAGTAAAACAGACATTTGGGATTGTAAACTTAGAAGGATTGAGTTAAAGGAAATCACCTTTAAAAACAGTCAAGGTGGAGTTAGGAGCTTCTTACAAAACAGAAAACTTGCTGAGTTAAGAATCATTGTAGGCTTTGAGAGAGTGGTGAAATGCATGGAGTAAATTTTCATAGTGGCTACAAAGGTGACTGTGAAAATGAGAAAACCCATGACAACATCTGAATGTCACTGAAGCAAATTATGACCATATTGGTCCAGAGAAATCACCATTGCTTCCCCTAAAGAAGTAGGGGAAGTAATGAAAAAATCACAATTTCAGATTTCGCTTTATAGAATAACCAGATAGCTGCCCCTTGAGTTGAGACTATCTGCACTGAATTGTGAGATGTCCAGAACCATCATTGAAAGGGAAAGGTGTGCAGACATACGAATTAGGGAAATGGGATACCGCACAGAACATGTGAAATGGGAGACTGAGATAATTTGACAATGACTGTGGTTCCCTGATTAAGAGGGCAGCTCTGAAAAGGTAGTGCTACACGCTTTAGTGGGAAAGTAGGCTGGATCGGAGATGGAACAATGAGCGGTGTTGCACGAACCACACTTAATTTGGTAACAAAGCATTTGGAACGCTCGAGTCATCTAAGGTGTTGTATTTATAAAAAGAATCACAGGAAAAATGTTGGCATCTAGATTTCCATGCATGTGGTGAGTAAAACACACATGTATGTATTTGAGTCTCTTATAAGAATGTATATAACCCAGGTGCCATTTTAAAAGTTCAGTGTAATTCGATGAATTGCTCATTGACTATTTTAACAGTTTCTTGGGAACCGTTTGCAAAACAATTTCTTGGAGATTGTTTGTGAAGATTAGTTTCATATTCTGCTGATAATAACCATCCTTTAGGAAAGCATTGGCAAAAATGCTGTGAAAAGTATTATCATTTCTGCACAGTCCCTTTGGAAAATAAGTACTTCTGAAAATCATTAGAAACAACTAATCAAGCCAATATTCTCCATCAGTTTTTAGTTTGACACATTCTACTATATTAATCAAGTGTTCAGTGGTTAAATATATGTGGTGTATTTTTTTAAATGGGGCTGTAACTGCTGGACATTATAAGCAATCAATTTGCACCAGTTGTGTCCTTTTTAATATACAGATGATAAATAAATACATAAGATTAAAAAAAAAAAAAAAAGGCAGGGAATTGCATTGCCCAAGGAATTTGTCAAGGGCATCACCAAGGGTTCATTTCGTTTTGGGGAGGGATGGGTAGCCAAGATACTCTTTAAAAAAAAAAAAATAGCATCTAATTAAAAACAGTGGGCTTGCTGTGAAATGCTGCTTCCAGGTAAGTCCCCTACCTCCCTCCTCCTTTTCAAACAGAATGCAGTTGCTAAGCCCTTTTATATAGAATTTCTGGAGCCTCCCCTTAGAACAGGGAAAAAGAAAGGGGACTAAAGGCCTCATGTTCAGCATATTCTAACATAATGACCCTTTCAACAATTTTCATCAGAGTTTGTCACACTCTCTTCCCAAGAGCTTCAGCACATGCTGAGAGTAAAACATGATTTCACTACTTTTCATTAAAAATGACCCCCTGCTCCAGCCTGTGTCCCATGAGTTCTGCCATCTCACTCCAAGCGACGGCATTAGTTGATGTCCACACCGAAGGAAGGTCAACAAGGCAGTGCTGCCCACTTCAAATAAAAATAACTTTCAGTCCCTCTTCTTGTCATCCGTTTTTTTGTTTGTTTGTTTGTTTGTTTGTGGGTTTGTGTGTGTATTTTTTGTTGTTTCGTTTTTTTACTTAGAGTTTAATTCCTAAGCATGGGATTTTCTATAACATTTTTAATGAGAGAAAACTTTCTAGCTACATAACCTGTATCACGACAGCCCTGGGATGAAGATGCCAGCACCAGGGCCACAGTAGGTACTTGGGAGGCCCTGACCATTTGGGGTAAAAGTACCTCACTGATGCTGTCAGTCATTGTTAATTCAGAAGAATTCAATCTAGCGGGTGGCTCTCCGAGTCAATAATGCGCTTTAAAATACCCTGAATTTTAGTCATGATTATTCAAGCAAAAACTTCATGTCACTTGGTAACACGGATGCTTGTCAATCTTGACAAGAACACAAAGGGAGGGACAAAAAAAAAATTCTGAAGAGAGATCACAATGGGAAAATAGAACAAAATATTTTTGCATGCTGTTTTGCTCACAAGTGCCAGGTGCTCCCCAAACTGCACATATGATTTGAAACGCTGGTAGCCAAAGTCATTTTCTTTCCTTCACAGCCATGAAACAAGACACTAAAATAAGAGAAAGAACATGTTTCTTCCCACACACATCCTCGAAGATGCATTTTAATCAACACCCTGGTATCCTCTCCATTTTGTGTTCAGAGCCTGTTCTCTTGAACCAAACCAAACAAAACAAAACAAAAACCCCCCATGATTCGTGTAGCCCAGGGTGTGGAACAAGTAACTTCTCTGAAATTTGTGCTCTGTTTTACTAAATCTGAACACATTTTCTTCAGTAGACAGAACAAGACGATCTGGGTCTTTTTTTATTTTTTCCTAAAGACAGTGTGCCAGCCAGACAGCTGACTCCATTTATTTCTCCTGCAGGGAGCCAGCGTGTTCCTTCTCCTGGAAGATGCAGGTACTTAAAATAGTAATAGGCTTTGTGGTTTATCAAGAGTATTTCATCCCAAGATCTTACAGGCATAAGGAATAAAACATAAACGGATGACTCTTTCCAACAAGCTTGGGAAGAATTAACTGGAAAGGAGGATTGTCATCATTTTCCCCTGGAGAAACAGAAGAAAGCTACTTAACTCAGGTAGCCCAGGGAAAGAATAAGAGGCAAATTGATCCAGGATTTGGACAGAGGCCCCCAGTCTGTTATTCTTCATACCTAAGAACTTAAGAGTTTCAGCTAAAGGAAAAACAAATGACGTATTTATCCCTTCTGCAGGAAGTTTCAAATGCTGTGTAATTGGGAGAGGAGCGCTAGGTGACTTCCAGTTTGTGTGTGTGTGAGTCAGTAGTTTTATCCCAAAAGGGAACTTTTCAAATGTTAACTTTCTTCTATAATTTCTCAAGGTGTCTCCTGTCTTCTGTGCATATTCAAACATAGCTGTAAAAATTAGGAAGAATTTAAAAGAATAATCTGCATGGCCACTTTTTTCAGTTGTTTCCCTACCCCACATACACAGAGTCACACTCTTTTACATTTTCTCTTATGAATTCACAGCACTTTTTTTTCTTGGTATTGTCTGTGCTAAGTAGTGTGGTATTTGAAAGGACACTGAGGGTCACTTTAAATACATTTAAGCACCAATCTGGTAACACCTAAAGCCAGAGGGCAAAATTGTGGTGGTGAAAAGCCGTCAAGTGGTGATGGAGGGATGGCCAGCCGGGCACTGTGGGGTTCCAATGTTCGGATAACTGACCACACTGTGGAGAATTCTCAGAGCCCTGGCTGGAAACAGAAAACCGTCTACTCCGGCAGGAGGGAACATCAACTGACATTTTAAATCCTTGGTGCTTTTTTCTCAACTCAGCTGACCTCCTCATTCACAGATTTCCCCAACATCCTGTGTCTTAATTGGCCCTAACTGGCTACATGTGAGAGTGCACAGAATCTGAGCAGGAGGACTAGGGTCTATACCGTAAATATGTACAGTTATTATGTATCAATAAAAACATTTTTTAAGGAAAGAAAAAAGAGGACTAAGACCTGTACCTTCCCAGCTCTGACCAGTCTGGGCATCAGGATGCAGAGAGATGACAAAAATTCATGTTGGTTTGA